TGAAATTGCTTTTTCAATTTCACTATTTTTAGATATTTTAGGTTGTAAATATGGATTATTTAAAAGTTCGCAGGCAGATTTAAATTGTGTGTTATTATTTGATTTCATTTTTAATTTTGTGAGAAAGAAAAAATTTTTTTTATAAAATAATTGTTAACAAATAGTTTAGTTAGTTTAGTTAATTGTTAACTTTATAACACATGATCCAATTATTACGTAATTATTTATTATGGGCGTTAGTAACCATGAAATATGAAATATATTAGTTATTTTACTCTTTAATAAGTATATAGTAATACATATTTGTAAAATATGTGCGACCCTCATAGTTGCTTTTAATAATCGCAGAGAATTATTTTTTTAAAGTATAGGAAACTTCAAAAAAAATATTTTTTGAGTTAATGTTAAATATGGACTTAATTTACTAAAAATAAAGTTACAATTTTAATGATAGATAGTCAAAGTTAATTAATTGCTCAATTGCTCACACACAAATAATTCAAATAACTCAAATAATTTAATTAAATATGCGTAATCGAAGTGATTCATGTATGATTCTTATCAATTTAATATTAGTTTGTAATAAATAAATAATTTTATTAAAATAAAAATTGAAAAATTTTCAAAACTTATTTCTCAATGTTGCATAATTAGATAAATAATAATTTATTTTGTGAAATGCATAGGCAAACGTAAATGTAAAATAAAAATTTATTAAAAAAAATTAGAAAAGATAATTTGCTAGCCGAATCTGGTTTTTAAATTATAAAAATAACATTCGAATTAGATGATTATCTATAGTTCAATAATTCAACTTGATCTTGTTTGGATATTTATGGGAGCGTTGGCAGTAAAATATCATTACGGACGTAACTTACTAGAAACGTTCGCGTATATTCATCACTATTATTTACTATTATTTAATGATAATAAATAGATTATTTAAATAATGTCATAATTTTTAATGTTATTTTTCTAACTAAGCTCACACTTTTTTAATAATTAATTTTACCATGAGTATAAATCTTGCTGAATTGTCTTTATTTCATCAAAATGATTAATTGAACGAAATGTTCAAATGATTACAAAATTCAAAAACAAGTTATTTCAATCAATTATATTACTGTCTTATTTTGATTCACACCGTGCGAATTTATCTTTGTGTATATACATTTAATTATATTCAATAATTTAAAACATTAATAATTTATTTACTACTTAATACTTACAGACTATAATAACTAGGTATTTTGCTTACTATAATATGCTTTATTTTTTAAATATAGCATTAATTAAGTACTAAGAATATAATCCTTTAATTTAAATTAAAATAAATTTATAAATATAAATAATTTCAATTATAAACACATATCAATAAAATCTAATAGTTTACCTTTAGTAGTATTTTTTGATTCCAAACATATGAACTTTCCCAATTTGTAATTAACAAATTAATCGAACCATAGATCATATTAAAAAGTTGTAGTCTCTGCAAAAATACGATAATATCGGTTTTATGATGTTACTAATCATATTGGAACAAGTATTTAAGTATTAATTTCTATTATTATTATCAAAAATAGTTACAGTACATTTATCAAATATTCTACAGCATTTCAAGATGGATTTATATCAGCAAAGTCATTTATTAATAGTAAATTAAGTAGTAGATATTTCTTATTTTATTTAGCATTATTTATATTAAATTTTTTTTCATTAATTCCGTTCCGTAATTATTTTTAATGATACTAATAATAACAAAAGTATAAAAATAATAAATGTATTTTTTTATTTACTAGCAAAATAAGTTATTTAGCTATTCGATATAAACAATTTAATTTGTGTGTGATATCAATAAAATTATTAAACAAAAATAAGATCATCTACATCGCACGATAAATGAAGTTTGCAGAGTTGTTATGTAGACATCAGGACATCTTTTCATTTAAAAAATTTAATCATCATTCGCCGCGATACGCACGATTATACTTTGTTGTAAGTATAGATAATCATCTTTATTTAACGAATTTCGAGTAAAACCAAAACTTGAACTATCCGATTCATTGCTTAATGTTAAATGGGATTGTTTTTCTACAATCATATGATTAATATATAATTAAATACATTAGCCCTTTTAATTAAAAAAATGCCTTTTTTTTAATTTCATATCTCGTATAACCTTTTAAGGATTATTTTTACAAAGTTCACAGTTTCACAAATTCTTTCCTGCGTAATTAAGGACTTAATATCATTATAATAGTAAGTTAATAATATCATAACCTCTGATGCTTCATCTTTTGTTAGATATTTACTGCATAAATAGCATTAATGCTGTTTATCTATATCAGGGTCATTTATCAATTTACATCTTTAACTAATTTCTACGTATATACATAATGGCAATGAAATAGGAAGATAAATGTAAAAAAATTAAATAAACAAAAAAATGCTTTAATAAATCGTACGTGTCAGGTTATCCTAAAAAGTTTAATGATGTTTTCCCCAAAAAACCAGTTTTTCTGATTATCTTAATCTATCTTCGTGGGGAACCAAAAATAATAAAAATCCAATCAATGACTTGACTGAAAGTTCTGCAATGTTTGGACGTAAAATGTAAATAATATAACGTGAAGGTATTGAAATTAATTATTATTTGACGTGTATTTTATTTCTATCATTTTTATTATCAATCCTTTAATCATTTAGTAAGACTTTTCAAAAATGAATAAAAAAAATTTGAAGTCTAAAATGAATTTTATTTCCAAGAATCATTTATGGTTTATTAGATTTACGAGATTACATTTTTTTAATCATCATAGAAATCCATAAAATGGGTTTTTTTTATTTTAATAATTAATTTAAGCGTTCTAAAAAAATGAAATGTCGGACAAATCGATACTTTGCATAATCACACCTATACCGCGGTACAAATACCATTAGTTTTTAAACACTTTTCGTTTAGGGATTTTCTAATTTTTTTTTTTTTTAATTTAATTATAAGATCGATCGTTGGGGAATACCATTTATTATTAAAGTTCATTCCGTTCACATTGAGATCATTGAAAATCTTTTTTCCGAATGTTTTTTTTGAAATGTTGCACCATTCACAAACGTTTGACGGTTAATTAGATGAAGATTTACTTTCTTAATATAAATCTTGGGCAAATAAATCGATAAATCGATTCTTCGTTGTATTCACACGATCTATTTGGTTATTTAATGAAGAGATGTCCGTCATATGCTTTAAATTTCTATTTTATGCAACTTGACGGAAAAAATTGCGTGAAATTTTTATTTGTTTATTTTTTACATTAAAAAAGGCTCTTGAGTCTAATGCAGGTAAATATATATTTTTTTGTCCTTGTAATTTTTATATGTCGGATAAAGTTTTTGAACAAGTTGAAAGCTTAATAGTATACACACTTTTTTTTTGACAACAAATAATAAAGTTTTTGTCGATCTTTTGGAAAAAAATCACTCCTGACTACACATGACCACTAAATCTTAATAATTATTTTGTCGATGATTTTTTTTTTTTGAAAGAAAAAAAAGAAGGAAATTTTTTTTTTTAAAAAAAAAAAATAAACAAATAATTGCCAAAGGTAGGAAAAAAGGGAGGTATCAAATTAATGATGAACCAATCATAAGAATAATCCTCTCATATTATTCAATTTATAAGGAAATAATATTAATAATATGAAAGGGAAATGTCAATCGTTGATTGGGAATGACATGATATGGAAGCTGCATGAAATTTTAAACATATCCTTGGCGGAGTTTTCCATGCGCAGGAGTTTCTAAACAAACAAGGAACTAAAAGGAAAAAGGGGATGTCTTATAGACTTATAGAAATGCACGAGACAAATTATCAAAAATAAATGCCCGATTCTTTTTTTACTAGATAAATCATTATTTTAAGGGCGGAGAATATTCTATCGAAAATGATCACCTGAAATCTGCTGAATATGAATGTGGAGTGATTTACTTTTAGAACCGAATCTATTTTTAGATTAGGAAAATATAAAAAAAAATATTACATCAAATGTTAAAAACATCAAAAACTTGATTCTTTTTTATGATTCATTGGACATGGTTTAAATAAACCATTTTTCAAAATCGAATTGTTTTGGCTGGTTACAAAAGATTGACGACATAATTTTATTTTGGTTTCAAAACCTCAAACTCAATAAGCTAGTTTTGATAGAAGGCTCGGTCGCCAATTAACAAGCATCGGGAGCGACACGAATTTGGTAGCGCAGATTTAACATAGATAACTGTAAATATATTATTAAGTTGTAACCGGTTATCAGATTATAATTTTTTTTTTTGGTGAAAAAAAATATTTCTGAAACTTGAGGTTGCAAACCAAAAGTGTGGGTTTGAACCAAAAAGGTGGGAAATGCGGTAAAAAAAAAAAAACTAATGCAAGAATCCTGTTTATTTATAATGTTTTGCGATCAAGTGAGGCGTGTGTATAGTGGCACTGCATTGCCGTTAATCATTCCGTTCCAAAAATAAATTTTAATGTATTCAATATAAATAATACATTAAATTAATACATTATAGTCATAGCTCACCCTTATTTGGCTAAAAAATCATCGTCAACATCAATTAATTTTTATTATATACAATAGTTTTTTATTTCAAATAAAATATATAAATGCCAACTTTTATGACTTAACTGTCATCAGATTTTATTTTTTTTTTGGTCGTATAATTTTTTTATTCTAAAGTGATTAATTTAATATTGCTAGATAAAATTATATTTATTACGGATAGCTCTGAATAAAATAATCATAATATCATAAAGATTTACCCCACTAATCCTTTCACTCGATAATGAGTACCACCATTAAATCGAAGAATATTTTTATATTTTTCTTCCTTATAATAACATTATTCTGCGTACCGATTTTTTCCCATTGTGAGGATTATTTTGATGTGTTGGATGATAATGCAAAAAGGAGTGTTGCGTGTCCGCTAATAAAGGATGATTTGTCAAGATTTTCTAAAAGGGATGACGACGACGAATTGAAAATAAAAATATCAAAATTTAATTGCGATAATGCAACCGAAGAAACTTGTAAAAATGTTAGAAAGACTTTTGATGATGCCGCTAGGATCATTTCAACAACTTTCATTTTGAAAAATACTATAAACTTGGATGTGAACTTCACCAACTTTTGTATATCCAAACCTAGTTTGTGTGACGTAAAAGGCGGAAGGGTCATTATAGGTAAACAATATGCTAAACTATTTTATTTTTATTTATTATTTTATTTAAAAAAAAAAAATTATTTATTATTGTTCCGCAAGGTGGCGCCAGATCGGCACGAAACATGCTATTGTTGGATGAAGATGATGTAACTCGATTCTATCCCCAATCATTAGTGAAACAATTTGAATTTAAAACGCATCCAGAATTTATATCAATTGATATAATATCATCATTTAATTCCATTGTCGATTGGTATTTTCCATCGCAAAAAGCACCAATTCGACCAAAGCAACGTGACATGCTTTATGTTGTTTTACACGAATTAATGCACGGTATGGGTTTCTTCACATTTTGGGGGGATTTCTTGGTCTCCGATGATCCGAATGACGTTCTCATCACAACCCGCCCAGATATCACAAGCGTTGAGAATCAAACCGTTTTCAATGGATTTAAGGAAGCTGCATTTGATAGATTATTGATATTTAACCGTGATCAAACGAGACTAACTAAGGTTTCGGATAAATTGAACAAATTTGCCAAGGCTGGTACAAAATTTAAGAGTGATGTCGACTTTATACGTAAATTCCTAGATTCGAAACAAGTTAATGTAGCACGAGAGATGACAAAAGTAACCACTACTCCAGAATCAATTTCCTCTATCCCCAACTCTTCCGAAAAAGTGATTTTGGAAACTTCCATAAAGCCTTTTCAAGCTGGTGCAAGTATTACTCATGTTGATGAGAAAACCTTACTTAACACTACCGATTTTTTAATGACATTTATACCGGTTCCTGGTAAAACATTAAAGGAATTAATAACACAGGTGGGAGGTAAAGGTCCCATTGGTCCAAAATTAAAATGCATCATGGAAAATTTAGGGTGTGTATTACTTATTTAAAATGGCAGATCATCATCTGAAATTCTTTTTTTCGAACACAAAAATAATTTGAAGTGTTTCAGATCAGATTAGTATTGTGTTTTGTTTTGTATTATTATTATTATTTTTTTATTAATATTATGTTTATTACTTGTAAAACAGATTGGCATCCAAGGATAAACCAAACCCATATCGTCCAAGATTGGCATCATAATAATAAAATTCCGCTGAGCGGAATTATTACTTTAAGGTTATTATATAAATAGTAATTTGACATAGAGATAATATTTAAGTTTAGTTAGGATTCATTTAATTCATTTACCTATTTAATAATAATTAAATTCGCATGTCTCAAAATACTAAATAAAAAATAACATGAAATCTCATTTTTAAAAAAATTGTTTCACGTTAAAAAAAGAAACTTGGTCATGATACAATAATAATAATAGTAAAAAATAAACAAAAAAAAAAATACCCGATTATTAAGAAACTTTATTATCAATTCGACCCGACCCTATAATTTATGCGAATAAATCCCTTTGCTTACTTGTTTTGAATATCGTATGTTTCAAAGTGGAAAGTTAACAATAGCATCGGTTAGCGAAAAAAGAATTTATAACATGATATTGTTAGGTTTGTGAGTTATTTCGATGCCGTAATCATAAATGAAACTTTGGTTTGCTTAAAATATGTAGCGTATGAAACGTATGAACGAATGAAATTGATTTATTTCATAATTTAATTTGTTTAATTTGATGCATTTTGCATTGTTTTAATAGTTTGTTAACAGATATTAAAATTTATTTTTAAAATTTATCCTTAAAAAAAATTATTTACTTATTAATTATCTTCTATTATGTATTTTTAAAAAATATATATTTGGCGCGAGGTTATGTAACCATCTCAATCACGTATTACGTGAAAGTTTTCCTATATTTGCTAATAAACACATTGATCCTAGTAGTATAAATAAGGCGATAATAATATTATCGAATTAATTCCTTCTTATAGTGGATTTTTCTAATTAAAATTAAAAAAGAAAATTTTCTTTCTATTTTCGAGGTACCAGAGAAAACTGTTTAAATTCGATGCTAATTAAACGTTATTCACTATTTAATCAATCTTATGCAATTTTTTTTTAAAAAAAAATCAAATGTGCTCTAATTGGTTCATTTTATATGATTAATTTATAAAATAAATAATTCAGTTTTAGAAATATTAAGATTAAAATAAAACTTTACAAATTATCACTTACCGTTACCATTATAAGTTTTATCTTGTTTTGATTTAATTTTTAAAATTTTCTTGATTTTCTAATTAAAGTAAAAAAAAATTTATAATGACAAGTTAAATAATTATTTAAAAACATAAAATTAATGAAATGACTTATTACCATTGTGAAGACATACATATCTAAATATTAATTATAACATTTATTTATTCTTTTATTTATAAGACAAGTAATAACGAACAATAAAAATTAAAGGCTGCATTTCTGAAAGCAGGTTTTTACGTTATGATTCTAAATGTTCTTTTCCAGAACTTAAGATTGATTTTGGTTTTTGTTTTGCAATTCGTTTTACATATGGTATATTATATTATGAATTTGCAAAGCTTTTACCGTCAATGTGATGATTATATAAAAGTTTTGAAAATTTCTTTTGCTAAGCTTAAAACGAATGAATCGAATGAATAAACAAACACGCACGTGTTCATTGACAGAAATTTTTTTTTTGAATTAAAAAAGTCCAACTTGACAATGAAATGAATTTTACTCGCTCTGAAAGTTTACATAGAATGACAAAAAAGGTTGTAACTGGCGTGATTTATTATTTATTTCGCTAATTAACAATTTTATTTTCATTTTTATGAATATATTTTAGCAATTAAAAATATCTAATAGGAAAAGTAACACTGATTATATCTCCAAAACTAAGTTATCAAGTATTGACTGAAATGTTTATAGTTCAAAGTAATATCAATATTTTATCATACAAAGCGATTGCTTCAGAGGCTAGATGTTTATTGAATTAACTTAGTACCGATTCTACGCCACAATAGTAAAAACTAATTAATTCATCTAATAAAATTATGCCTAGCAACGAATGATGCAAACAAATATCACCCAAAATTTACAAGATCTATAGACATTTTAAATGTTAGGATCGAAAATAAAGTTACTATCGCATGTAATAATGGTTTGTAATTTAAGGCTTATCATTAATCAATTTTATTTTGACATGATAAAATGGGAGCTTTGCTATTAAAAATGGGTTTTGGGGACCTTTCAACAAAAAATGAGATTTTTGATTCATATTATAGT